GGAAGATTGAGTCAGGGGAGGAGTAGAAGAGAGAGAGAGAGAGAGAGAGAGAGAGAGAGAGAGAGAGAGAGAGAGAGAGATCATAATAGAGGGGCCATTATAGGTTTGAAGAGAAAACTGAATCTAGAGAAATGTCCAGAGACCTACAAGACTGACTACAACTAGCAATCTGAGCAATAGTGGAAAGGCTATCTTAAGTGCCCTTCCCTGATAACTTATATCCCATCATAGAGCCCTCACTAGTAGCTGATGGAAACAGAAGAAGACACCCACAGCTAAACACTGAGCTGAACTCCTAGAATCCATTTGCAGAGAGGGAGGAGTGATAAGAAAAGGTGTTAAGACCAGGCTACAGAAACCCACAAAGATAGCTGACCTGAACAAGAAGAAGGAGCTAATGGACCTTTAGACTTATAGCTGGAAACCAACATTGGACCAATTCAAACCCCCTGAACATGGGTCTCAGTTAGATGGCCTGGGCAGTCTAAGAGACCTCTGACAGTGGAACCAGGATGTATCCCTGGTGCACAAAAGGACTTTGGGTGTACATCCCCATGGAAGGATACTCCCTTAGCCTAGAGGCGGGGGGGGAGGGCCTAGTCCCTACTCCAAATGACTTGACAAATTTGGTGATCCCTCCTGGAAGGCATCATCACCCTCCCTGTGGAGTTGGGGGGGGGGCAATGGGATGGGAAGGTACCACGGGAGTGAGGGATGTAGAGGGAACTGGGATCGATGCATAAAATAAGAATACACACACACACACACACACACATATATATATATGTGTGTGTGTGTGTGTGTGTGTGTGTATGTGTGTGTGTGTGTGTGTGTATGAAAAAAGAATAAAATAAAAATCCAAAAAAATCTAGATGTCCCAAATAAGGCAAAGCATGCATGTACAATAATATTATTTTAAAGCAATGGGAACAAAGAGGTAACTTTGAATCCTTTAAAAAAGAACTAATCTAAACCATTCAAAGTGGAAGATGATGAATAAATACAGTCTTTGTTATTGCATAATTTTTCCAACTATCAGTTTTATTGCCAAGCGCATGTCTTTTTATAAAATAATAAAGTGGGACAAGATAAGTTATTTTCCTCATCTCTTGGCATTTTAGTCATTTTCCATGACATAGGATGGTTGGAATCCAAAGAGATCATCGAGAAAATAGTGAAATTTCACCATTCTGAGTGATTTACAATACATACACCAAATTGGTCTTAATGAAATAGATTTCTTTAGATTTCATATCCAGTGAAGCTACTTCACTTCTTAGGACAGAACATTCCTCACAGGGGGCCTCAAGAAGTGGCCCTGGACTGATAAATGTCTTCAAAACAAACCTCTGAAATTCAGGAAAATTAATTTCTTTTTCAGCTATAAATTATGTTTTTCTTCTTCAAAGAAGACACTTCAAGGTACAATTCAAAAACTTTAAATGGAAAATATGCAAAAATTGGCTCCCTTCAAAGACTGATTTATTACTATTCATGAAGGTTCATTTCCTCTTTCATTTTACTGATTGCAGCTTTAAGAGCCCTTTAGAGAGATATAATTCTTTTGAAATTACTCTTCCATCTTCATTTATGCTGTTGTTGCCCTAATACACATTCTTATTACCTCATACTTAAGTTATTAATATATCCATCAAAAGACCTTTCATCATTCAATTTTGGCTTCTAAGTGATATTTTAGGGAGTTGTATAGGCAAATATTGTTGGATCAGAATTTTGCTTCTCCCATTTCCTTGCTTTCCCATCTTAAGAAGTTAATTACTATTCTGTTCCAATTGAGCATTGGGTAAGACAGGAGATAATATCAGTTCCTCCTTCATAGAAAAGATTCAATGAGATGATGAGTGCAAATAGTCTACAATGCTGACTGTACACAAAGTACTCACAAAAATTTTCATTCCTCTGCCTTGGTTCTGTTTAAAACCCATCTCAAAACTTCCTGGATCTAATTACTTCCATGTTTTAAGAGTTCATTTGCATGTATCTACCAAAAATATATTATTTCACCATTTCCAACATGCCCCATGCTTCAGAAAAGTTTTGTATTTACTACCCCTCAAATATAGGCGACTCTACTTTCCACTTGAGTAATTGATAATATTGTTTTTCTTCCCTAGAATTATTTGTCCATTTCCTTTGGCTTAACTTTGTTATATTTCAGCAATTATAAAGTTTTTCTATGTTTGCTTACATTCTATGTATGTATGCTTGTATTTCAGTTTTCAAACTTTAGAGTTGCATAATTCCCCCTTGCTTTCTCCTCCCTCCAAATCTTTCTGTATGTATGATAAGCTAAAGAAATAGAGTTCAGAGACCATTTACTTGAGAGAGAACAAGGGTTGTCATATGGAAAGGGTTAGAGGAAGGAACAGGAAAGGGGGAACTATGTGTTCATATTTTAATTTAAAATATAACAAAATCTCAAGTTGAACAAAAAACAACTCAGCTGCATACTATAACTTCATCATTATTATAGTTCTTTAAATATTTGTTGGGTAATTAATTATAAAATAGTGCACAGTGGTATTCTATGGTTATATAGAAAGAAATCAGAGGGCTTAAAAATGTTTATCCAAAAAAGTTTGTGTTGACTGGTTCTAATAAAAAACAATTGAAGTTATAATTTAACTTCTGTTGTATTTTTTCCTTATTATTTGAGAAAATATTGTTGTTACTGTAAAAGGAAGCATGCTCTAGTGCATTACTACAAACTACAAATAAAACTAAAACATAGAATGTAAGAGAAATACTTAAAAATTGAGTCACAGAAATAATTAATCTAAAATAACACACTATAAAAAGATTTCTTCCATTCGATACCCATAGAGTTAAAACAGGCCCAATGTTTTTCAGTAGACTATGAAAAAGAGGACTACATATATACACAACAATTAAATCATGCTGGTTGCTTAAGAAAAAGTAAGCTTTTCCTAATCCCAATTTCAGGTAGATTCTCCTAGAAAATAAAATAGTTGGTCATGAATAATGTTCTCAAGCATAGCTGTTACTACTCATCCAATGCTACTTTTATAGGTCCTACAAACATTTAAAGCACTAAATTGAAAACTTTTCCCAGCCTAGGGAATATATGAAACAGTAAGAGAGAAAAAAAGGAAGCATCCTGATTGATGGGTAAACTAAATTTAGACTGTTACATCTGGGATATTGACACTCAGACCACCAGCTGTATTCAGCAGCTAGAAAACTTCCATATGAATAGTAGAAATGATTGCTAAGTTATTAAACTATTTTTGTTCATAGCTTTGTTCCTTCTAGATGACCCACGGATTTACTGGAATTAAATTGGTTTTGCCTAAATTGGGTCACTGACTTCTGATCTGTTTCTACCCATGTTAAAGCCAATGATATGTGAGGACATTGAATACAAAAAAGAGGTGAGGTTAATAGTCAGGCTTTCTTCTAGCAACATTTAGAAGTTGTCTGTGAAATAGATATAGCATGTGGGGACACTGGTCACTTGTGAGGAAAGAGTTTCCTTCTCCCTCTAGCCCAGGCTTTGTTTTCTAAGTTCAACAGGTCTGGAACTATATTTTTTTCAGTGAAGGATAATACCCTAGGAAACTGGCTCACACTTCTAAAATTCACAAGGGGCAGATTTGTATTACGAGGCCAACTTAATAATTTATAGTAAAGAAGAGAACTGCCAAATGGACTGAGATGTGTGTTGGCCTGTCAGCTTTAGTCTCTTTTCAGTAGGGATGCCAAGTCAAAAAACTAAATTAACAACAGATTGGAGCTGGATATATCTATGAAATCAGAATTAAGAAGAGGACTGTAAGGTCAAACTTGTTTCATTTACATAGCTCAGCAAGGAAGAATATCCTATCTCTTTGCCAGTCCTCACAAGTCATGGTTATACACCATCAATCAAGCCAGGCTTAATTTCCAAAGCTAAAACCATTGCTTTTCCATCACTTGACACCCCTGTGATTTTTATTGGACATCGCTGAGTGCTGGACCTAGCTCCCCCTAAGTCTCTAACAGTTCTGGTTTTATAAGATGCGTTTGTTGCAAAATGAGCTGTTGCATATCCAGGGTGCCCTCCTACAAAAATATGGTCTTCCATTTCCTTCTTTAATCAGTCTTATCTGTGAATCAAAATGCTACTCTTTGACCTAACCCACAAGTATTTTTGTTTTTCTTCTTTACTATGGTTATTACCCAGAACGTTCTTTGCAGCTCCGGGCTGCAAATTCTGAGTGCGGCTCTTTTAAACGCCTGTAGAGGTTTGTACTACTTTATAAGCCTTGCTTTTCAGACTTATTCTGAAACTCAGCTGAAAGTGCTGTTTCTAAGTGTGTGGTATTTACTTGAGTATTTCTCAAGATCCTGTAGACACTGTGCAGAACCACCAGACCCACTACTGGAGGCAGACTGCAATCAATAGTGTTTTTCTTTTATTTACATGGTTCAATCTTTGAGCTTTTATTTATTCACCTGTTCCCTCAGCTTTCATTCAAACAGCATTCTTGAAATTGCTTTGTTTGGAACACAGAAATAATCTGGATATAGACCTTTTTTCTCCATATAGTAAAGTTTTCAGTATAGTAAAGGCAGAATAAACACACAGAACAGTTAAACTGCACATTAAAATGTGAATTAGTGATCAAAATGAGGATAATCTAGATTTAGTGGAAAGTTTAGGCAAGATAGTCCTGTTGTTATTCTTGACATGTATTTTGAAGGTTCCTCGGCCTTTGCTTCCTGGAATTGAAAGAGCATCAGCTTTCCAGTTCTTTGGTAAACTTTCTTCATGTTTGGCTTAGAAATCTTATCTTGACACAAAACCTACTGGAATATAGTAAGAAAAACATCTGGCATGTTATGGAAGGAAATAAGGTGGGTAAGAGTTAAGAAAGCAATGATGTATTTGTTGTTTGTTTAGCACCAATGAAATAAAGAAGAAATCAAATTTGACTGGCGTCATTTGCTCAAGGGACTTACCTTCGTTCTGTGCAAGTAAGGTTTCTGTGGTGAGACATCAATGTGCTCAACTTCCTCTTTCAACACTAATTTTTTTCAGTTATCAGCAGGATATGTACGTGCTGCCCAGAGTTGTACTTTTTTACTCCCATCTCCTTGCAAAGATACAAGATTGCTTATCCCGGCTCAGCATCAGGGTAAGTTTTAGTCAAGTATCTATAACTGTGGTTCCATTTGTGGGGATTGGTGGATACAGGACAATCAGAACAGGGACAAATGTGAAGCCAGGGTTTTAAATGAAATGGTCTCTGGTTTCTCATCTCAGGATTCTTATAAGAGAAACAAATGTGATTGCCTTTGAGTCTAGCCAGAATTCAAAGTGAAGTTTAATATTTCAGCCTTTATTGTTACAATAGCATTATTGTCCTTTATGATATAACTCACTGCTTGCTAAAGGGGCCTTTTGTAGAGTGGACAAGGAATGGTGTATGACACAAAATGTAAGTACAGTCCTGTATTTAGTCTTATTTGTGAAAATTTGACATACTTAGCCAGAGAGAGAGAGAAAGAGAGAGCGAGAGAGAGAGAGCGAGAGAGAGAGAGAGAGAGAGAGAGAGAGAGAGAGAGATGAACTTCTGCTGTGTATAATTTATCTAGTTACATAGGAACTCCTAATTGTGAGTTTAACTTGCATAGACACCGAAACAAATAGTATTTTCCTCTAGGATAAAAGAAGAATAACAAATGGTGTATTTCAGAATTAAAAAGGTTATCTAGATAAAAATCCCTGACAATACAGTTGGATTAACTGAGAGTCAGTGAGATGAAATCACTTAAGAGCACTGTGGTAATTAGTAGCAGAATTACATCTAGGAACTGAGTCTTAAAACCCATGTTTTTCCCCCTCCAGATGACTGTGACTTTCAGAACTATTATAAATCTACCTATGGCCCTCTTTATTTTAATATTTGAGAAATAATGTTTCAGATGATTTCAGAGATGTTCTGTGTTTCTCTAAGAGGAAATTGTGTCCTAACCTCAGTTCTTCTAGATAGCAGTGTTCAAACATGGGACATTTGTCTTCTCAGTAGTGCTCTTAGTAGTGGAGCTAGCACTATTGAGTCAAAAACAAGCTATCTGGGGAGTCTTTCAAGATAGACTGTGTGCTTAGCTGATTCCATAAGTAGCCTAGGTATGATGATAATGACTTTGCCCTGGTTTTAGGGGAGGTGATAGTCTCAATTCTTAGAATTATCAAATGAGGATATTTTTAAATTTTTTGCTTAAATAGATGCAGTCATTTTTTATTAATTAGGGAATTTATGCAACTAAAATGCAGTACACAGATAGTTGATATGCAGATATACTTAGGTTGGTAATTGCCTGAATTATACTGATATTGAAGTCATAGGTTTAGAACAGTTGCTTTTTGTATAGGTTCCTGTCGAATACAGTGCCTTCTTTGGTCAAACACAGTTCTTTTCAGGGCCTAACTGGTACAGTTGTTCAGTTCAAATTGTATGGACTACTAAATCCTAGTAGTGGAGAAGCAAAGAACTCCTAGTGAATGAGCAGTTTTTTGAGAAGTTTGGGGTGGTGCTTGCTGGTTATCTGCGTTTGAGATAAGTGAGTTGGCATCCTATGAAGCCCTGTGTCATGGTTCTAAAAAAGAACACAGTAATGTTTGCTGTGAAACCATAGTATGAACAGTTTCCCATGATCAGGGCAATGGTTGGGTTGGGAGTTATAAATTTTATTTAATTAAATTGTTTAAAAAGTTTACTTATGAATAAGATCAGGATTTTAAAACCATTACTTTCGCCACTAAACATAAAAAAAAAATCAATGTAGAGTTGCTGTTGATTGTAGGAGCCAAATCTTTTTTAAAAATTTATTTACATTAGAAACAATCTTATTTTATATATCAATCCCAGTTCCCTTTCCCTTCCATTCTCCTATCCCCCCCCACTAGCCCCCATCCCATCCCTCTTCTGCTCCATAGAAATGGGGAGGCCTTCTATGGGGAATCATCAAAGTCTGTCACATCACTGGGGCAGGGCCTAGGCCCACCCCTGTGTGTCTAGGCTGAGAGAGCATCACTCTATGGGGAGTCAACTCCCAATGTCCATTCACACACTAGGGATAAATGCTGATCTTAGACTTAAAGCAATCTATCCCATTGAACTGGCACTTTCCAACCATCATGTATGCAGTCACCAGGAAAAATGTGGAGAGTAATACTTATAGCAGTTTTATTAGAGGGACTGTGATTTTGTTTTTTCATCTGTATCTAGTTCTTCCACTTTTTAAATTTATTTTCTTTAAGTTGACAAGCCTATGGGCTACCCCTACTATCAAGGAAAATAGAAGTAATTTTGGCAAGCATGTTTGTTTACTTGTGCTGTTTACTTAATGACAACAGGTTAAAAAGAGGAGAACTGAGCAGGTGAAGACTCATAGCTGTGGTATGTAAGGAATGAACTATCTCCTTAATCTTAGTTCTAAATCCAGAGCTTAATACCTTCAGGGAAATGGGATTACTTATTTGAGTCCTAGTATCTTCAACTTTCAGTTAAATGATATTGCATGGTACAGCCATTTGTAATAATCATTCAATAATGATTTTTGTCAATCACATACACATATCTATAGTGCTCTAAGTATGCATGTTCATCAGGGATAGCGGCTGCATAAGGACCAGGCAGTGGCAATGCTAGTAGTGTTGGGAGTATTGCCCATATAGACAAGAAAAATTAGAACTAGAAAGGAGTTAAAGGCCAATGAGTTCAATTGTATTATTTTAGTAATAAAGAAAATGAAAGTGACAGAAAGAAAGGGGCTTACTGCAGCAATGTAGAGGATTGGTATTTGACTGGTAGAATCCAAGCCTGTGTGATCCAAGTCAAGTATTTTTAAAAATGTAGTATACTGTTTTGAGTATTCCATATCCTGCAAGTCTTGCTTAACTCAGCACTCCTGTTTTCAAAACTAAAATTAAAATGTCCCAGAATTTTCTATCTGCAATTTACTATGATTTGAGTCCAAATGTAAAACTTTACAAAGATCCTTGATTCTGATACAACACTACCCTGACACCTGGAGGGACTACCCTGACACCTGGTGGAAAGTCATTTGCCATATATCCCTAGTGCATATAATTAAAAGTGTTAGAACTAGATCCCAGAATGGCAGTGTCTTTACCTTTAAGGAGAGTATATTCTGTATGAATAGCATTTTAAAATAATTTTTCATGCAAGAACTTATTTGGAAATGGAGAGTTTCATCTTTCTCTAGTTTTTTGAAAATATCATTATAAATCAAATTGCAATACCTCTTGGACTTTGGGGAAAATTAATTCTGCTGGGATTCAATTTCACAGTCTATGAGAGGTATAATAATAAAACTCTAAATTCTTACAAGACTGATATACACAAGAATAACATTGAGTACCTGATAGGAAACAGATTAGATTTAGTAGTTCACTATGAGTTAAGGACAAAACCCATGTCATAATTATATAGGCATGCTTGAGTAAAAACTGGAAACTAATGTAGCTTGTTGGGCGCTGTTTATTTGTACCTGTTTAAAATATTGGGCTCACCATTAGTGAATCAGACTCAAAAGCCTGATATAAATATATATTTTGAAATAATATTTATTTCTACAAAATTATACAGCTAGATGATCAAATTCTACTTAAATATATGACATTCTGGTTGGAAATAGAACTTTGAATTTCTTATGTGTTCTGATATCTAGGAATCTAACTATATTTATCTCTGGAGCAGAGGGTGAAATATGGCTCCTGCGATAGACATCAGAAGTCAACTTTTTAAAAGTGTTTTCTAATATATGCCTATACTACCTACTCTTGCCTGTGTAAGTTCCTATTGCTTGCCTAGACCTCTGCTAAACAGACTTAATTATATGTAAAATTGTAAGATACAGACTCTTCCCATGTGAAAATGCATTTTATTAGTGAAATCTGTAGTCTGATGAAGAGGAGAATCAAAGTACAGATGCCTAGTGCCAGAAAAAAAAAGAGTGTTGAAGTAGGCCCTTGATCCAGAGGAATCTATTTAGCTCCAAGATGAGATCTAAAGAAAGCTTTTTTTATTTAATTTATTATTTTACATGTCGATCCCATTTCCCCTCCCTCCCATTTACCCTCTCTGCCCTCTCACATGCACCCTAACCACCCTCCCATCCCCCCACCCCAATTCCATATGTAGGGGTCATGTATGTCTGACAGTTCATGTGAAGTAGGGACTAGGGCTTCTCTCCTGTCTCTAGATTAAGGCAGTTATCCCTCCATGGGGGATGTGTTCACAAGGTCCTTTTGTGCACCAGGGATACATCCTAGCTCCACTGTCTGAGGCCCCTTAGATTTCTCAGTCTTTCTGGCTGAGACACACATTCAGGGGGACCTGAGTCAGTTCTATGCTGGCTTCTCAGCTATCAGTCTGGTGGCCCGTTAGCTCCTCCATATTCAGGTAAGCTGTCTCTATGTGTTTCTGCCGCCTGGTCTTGTCCTCCCCATCTGCATCTGGGTTCTAGTTCGACTCAGTGTTTAGGTATGGGTGTTTGTTCCTGTTTCCAACAGGTATTATATGAGGGTTCCATGGATAGGTTAGTTGTTGATCTCACTATCCGGGAAGGGCATTTATGGTAGCCTTTTCACGAAAGCTCAAATTGTTAGCTGGCGGCAGTCTTGTAGTTCTCTAGACCTTTTAAAGAAAGCTTTTTCTACCTCCTTGTTTCCTAGCTTCCCTGGGGTTTGTAGAGGGAGTTGTTATGGGTTTAACGAGAAATCTAGCACTAGGGAAATCTCTCGGAATCCACAAGGATGACCCCAACTAAGAATATAAGCAATAGTGAAGAGGCTACCTTAAATGCTCTTTCCCAATAATGAGATTGATTACTACCTTAAATGTCATCATAGAGTCTTCATCTAGTAGCTGATGGAAGCAGAAACAGAGATTCACAGTTAAGCACTGAGCTGAACTCTTGGAATCCAGTTGTAGGGAGGGAGGAGTGATGAGCAAAGGGGTCAAGACCATGTTGGGGTAATCCACAGAAATAGCTGACCTGAGCAAGTGGGAGCTCACAGACCCTAGTCTGATAGCTTGGGATCCAGCATAAAACTGAAACCAGGCCTGAATGTGAGTGTCAGTTGGGGACCCTGGGCCATCTAGAT